AGTTGGCCAGGAGCTGCCTGAGGCTGGCTGCGGCAGCTGGCAACCCAGGTGGGTGGCGCGATTACCGCCCCTGCCTGCTCGGCCGTCAATGGCCGTGACGTCATCATGGGGCGCCGGGGGCAATGGCGCTCTAGGCAACTGCCTAGTTCGCCTAGGCTCACGGGCTGCCCCTGCAGCTGGCACACGACCGGCACAGTCAAGACTTCCTCATGCGAAGCACAAGTGTTAGCGAGATGCCTCAAAACCTTGAGTTCCACTGGCATCGTACTATGAGAGAGAAAGAAAGAAAGAGAGAGAGAGAGTGTGTGTATGTGTGTGTGCGCACGTGCGGTTAAATCAGCCACCTTGGTGCGGGGCCAGCCCTCCTGCTTCAATTACTAAATAATATTCAACAGGAAAAACTGATCCACCCACCCCATCAGACTATTCTATACCCCAGGGCTACGTCTAGACTGGCATGATTTTCCGGAAATGCTTTTAATGGAAAAGTTTTCCGTTAAAAGCATTTTCGGAAAAGAGCGTCTAGTTTGGCACAGACGCTTTTCCACAAAAGCACTTTTTTTTTTGGCCAATCTAGATGCACATTTGCGCAAAAAAGCCCCGATCGCCATTTTCACGATCGGGGCATTTTTGCGGAAAACAAATCTCAGCTGTCTACACTGGCCCTTTTGTGCAAAAGTTTTGCGCAAAAGGGACTTTTGCCCGAATGGGAGCAGAATAGTATTTCCGATAAAAGCACTGATTTCTTACAGAAGGAAGTCAGTGCTTTTGCAGAAATTCAAGCGGACAGTGTAGACAGCTGGCAAGTTTTTCCGGAAAAGTGGCTCCGTGCCAATCTAGATGCTCTGTTCCGAAAATGCTTTTAACGGAAAACTTTTCCATTAAAAGCATTTCCGGAAAACCATGCCAATCTAGATGCAGCCCTTTAGTTAGATCTGTATGTTTGTACTGTATTTAGGCAAGGCTTAGATGCAATGAGTTGGCACAATAAGCTACACTGCATACATTTTGATAACAGATACAGAATAAAGCTCCAATCCTGCTACCAAATATGCTTAATTTTAAGCAGAAAACTTAGGCTCCACTGATTTCAGAATCAGCACACGCCTGCAGAAGCAATGCGCACATCAATTCGTGGTTGTTTTTCTGAAAAAATTGGCCAGTCTAGACACAGCCCATGTGTTAAAGCATTCAGGTGGGAGATTCTTATTCAAATCCTGTCCCCCATTCCAGCAAAAAGGCAGAATTGAACCTGGCTCTCCTATATTACAGGTGAATTCTCTGTACACCAATCCATCCTACCACCTGCTCTATTCTGTAGTACGCTCCATACACCTGTATTCTGTAGTACGCTCCATACACATATTTGATAAAGCCCCATAGAAAAGACAGATACATCCACTTGCCTTCTCCTGCTTATGGCTCATACTGGGGCTTAGGCACCTGGGTGCTTATCTCATGCCTAGGACCCTATCGAATTCCATGAAAAATGTGTAATGGATCATGAAATTTGGCCGCCCTTTGTAAAATGTGTGTGCGCGTGCGCATGCTTTTACCCTATTTTATACAGATTTCACAGGAAAGACTAACATTTCTCAAATTGGGGGGGGTCTTGACCCAAATGGAAGTTACAGGGGGCCACAGGGATATTTTTGAGGGAGTCACAGTATCGCTATCCTTACTTCTACAATGCCTTCAGAGCTGAGCAGCTGGAGAGCAGTGGCTATTGGCCAGGCACCCAGCTCTGAAGGCAGCACTCTGCCCTTAGCAGCAGAGAAGTACCACCATGCCACCCTTACTTCTGCCCTACTGCCTTCAAAGCTAGGCAGCCAGATATTGGTGGCTGCTGAGGGCTCAGAACCGACAACAACGGCTAAAAGTAAGAGTGGCAATACCATATCATGGCTTTACTCATGCCTATTCTGAGCCAACAGTGCATATACCTGAAGTAGAAACTTGGGTACTGCCTTAGGAATTTAAAAGAAAAACAGGTGTTGAAAGTTTAAGCATCTACAGAGTTAGGCAGCAGCCATGTGCATCATAACGCTGCCTAAAGCTCGAACTTAGGAATTTAAATCCCTGTAGATCTGATCTTATATCTGCTCCTTCTCAGAACCAAGAGCTACACATTTAACTGACTACGTCTACACTGCAGGCTGCTTGCGCAAGAACAGTCGTTCTTGCGCAAAAACTTGCAGAGTGTCTATACTGCACACACGTTCTTGCGCAAGTAAAATTACAGTAAATCATAGGAACAGAGGGCTTCTTGCACAAGAGTTATTCCTCTCCCCACGAGGAATAAGCCCTCTTGCACAAGGAGGCAGTGTAGACAGGCAACAGTGGATTCTTGCGCAAGAAACCCCTATGGCTAAAATGGCCATTAGAGATTTCTTGCACAAGAGAGCGTCCACACTGTCATGGACGCTCTTGTGCAAAAACACATTTCTTGTGCAAAAATACATGGTAGTGTGGATGCGCTCTTGCGCAAGACCTTTTGCACAAGAACTCTTTTGCAAAACAGTTCTTGTGCAAGAAGCCTGCAGTGTAGATGTAGCCTCATTGTTTGCTGGCTTTTTCCTTTGGACAAACACAAACAGCTGCAGCCAGTCAATGCCCTAGCTCTATATTTGTAATCTATCCCCATTGCCCAGTCTTACCAAAATCCTACCAAGCTGTCACTTCTATTGTTTCAGCTGTCACTACCAATGGAATATTTAATTGCTCTCATTCAGCTGGAATGAAGGTGTTTAATATACCAATTATCTTTTGCATGGTATATGATTGATGGGCACCATTAATACCTCCCATCATAAAACAACTATTACCATTCAAACTTTCGTTCACTACTACACTATCCAAAATTAGTTCTTAATTGATTTGCTCTACCAAATTTGAAAAGGAATGGGTGAAGGCTCCAAGGCACTGCTTGGAAAAAGCACTGCTGCTCACAGTGGGCCCAAGCCTGTATTCTTCATAACCAGAACTCCCTTTAAAAAATGATTTGCTTGAGTGTAGAACTGGGTTTTTAGAATTTGGGAGTGGAGTGTGACTCCCAAGATACTCTTGCTAATCTTATACTTTGGAATCCAGGTAAGGACACTCATGGTCAGATTTTCACAAGTGCTGAGTTCACATCGAAGCAGCACTGGACCACATCCAACTTGGGGGCCAGATCTGTCCTGCCTAACACTTTGATCCGGACAGCGGACTGCATCTGGCTGCTTCTTATTTATATCCTGCTGTCTGGGACGCCATATTTCCAGGCAGCAGGATCCTATTTAAATGGCTCACAACTCCCTGCCACAGCACTTCCCTGGCAGGGGGCCAGGGCCGAGAGCCCTTTAAAAAGCCGCAGCAACCCCAAGTGCTTGCCAGAGGGGTGGAGCTGGCCCATGACCAAATACCAAAATTAAGTGGCCAGCCTGTGAAAATTATTGCCCAAACCTGCACTAAGGTGAATAGTAACAGCAAGTGATAAACACCCCTTAAAACTCAACTCTCATGTCCATAAGATGTAAAGAGATCTGCTGTAAAATTTAATCCACTCCAAAAGAACTGTACTGCTATATAATATACCATATAGAAAAACCTGGTACATACGGTGTTCTCTTGGGCCAAACTACTTAACACAGAGAGTAAAAATCTTTGAATCTGCTGCTTCTCAGTGAAGAGGAAATGTTTTACTATATTATAAATGGAAAATGGTCTGATACAATCAACAGTTTTAAAAATAGAATTTTGGATCAGTGGGATGATTGATTAGCAACTCAACCAAACTTTGTTCAGTTACCAGTATTAAGAGCTGATTCAGCTTTCATTAACAAATATGAATTTTACCTCTGACTTCAAAGGAGCAGAAGCAGGCCCCACATCCACTCCTTTGTAAATAAAGTTTTTTCTGCACAATAGATGCATTGACTTAACTACCTCAGTTTCTAAACCCAGTGGCTGTGTCTAGACTGGCAAAAGTGCTTTTGCGGAAAAGTGTCCGTGCCAATCTAACAGTTTTTCCGGAAAATCAGCCACTTTTCTGGAAAAACTGGCCAGCTGCCTACACTGGCCACTTGAATTTCCACAAAAGCACTGACTTCCTACTGTAAGAAATCAGTGCTCCTTGTGGATATACTATTCTGCTTCCGTTCAGGCAAAAGTCCCTTTTGCTCAAAGCTTTTGCGCAAAAGGGCCAGTGTAGAGAGCTTAGATTTGTTTTCCGGAAAAAAGCCCCGATCGCGAAAATGGCAATCTGGGCTTTTTTGCGGAAAAGTGTCCGTGCCAATCTAGATGCTCTGTTCCGAAAATGCTTTTAACGGAAAACTTTTCCATTAAAAGCATTTCCGGAAAACCATGCCAATCTAGATGCAGCCCTTTAGTTAGATCTGTATGTTTGTACTGTATTTAGGCAAGGCTTAGATGCAATGAGTTGGCACAATAAGCTACACTGCATACATTTTGATAACAGATACAGAATAAAGCTCCAATCCTGCTACCAAATATGCTTAATTTTAAGCAGAAAACTTAGGCTCCACTGATTTCAGAATCAGCACACGCCTGCAGAAGCAATGCGCACATCAATTCGGCCTGCTGCAACCCCCGTTTGTATGGGGCACGGTCCACTGTACAGTACTCGCCCCTAGGGCCTGGGCGGGGGGGAGGAGGGTCAGAGCACCAGCTTAGTTTGGCAGTTATCGGGAGGCCTCTGAGCTCAGGCCCTGGAGAGGGCAGTGCCACACCCCCGCTGCTGTTTGGGGCTAGGCCCGGGGCGCAGAGACAGGGCTGGCCCGCGGGTGGGGAGAGCAGACTTTGCCCCTGGGAAGTGCCAGTGGGGAGCA